ATAGAATCCTTCATCTTTTAAATTTCTTAACACTGTGTGTTATATCAGCATCCTGAGAAAAAATATGGATAAGCAATTTAATTTTACTAATGGCTTTTCTCTCATAGATCTATTGCATCACTGTATCTAAGTTTTTCTTCATTTTAATTTTCTATATTCTACATTTTATTTCTAGGAAATGGTCCCAATTTAAATCTTTCTATTAGTTGACCGTTTACACTGATTGGTCCAAATTGCTGTTTCTTCTTGGAAACAATCCTACATTTTATTTTCTTAATGTTTAGTAAAAGTCCATATCTCTGACTTACTCCTGTGATCCTATTTAATAACTCCTGGGGGGCTTAGTAATAGCACCGTGTTTTTCTTATATCTGATGTTAATCTTCTTCTTTCTTCTTTTTCTTCTTTTTTATAAGCAAAATGCTTGTTCAATGTCGATTAATGCCTCCATTTGAGGTTATCACTCCATCTTTTGCGTGGTCGCCCGATACTTCTTCTACCTTTTGGTGATTTGTTCCTCGCTATTCTGACTAATCGGTCTCTTCCATTCTGTTTATGTGTTCGTTCCATTCCTTTTTTCTGTTCAGTGTCCACTCATTTATTTCTGGTATATTGCATTTTCTTCTGATCTCTTCACTCCTCATTCGATCCCTCAGTGTGTTTCCTGTAATTCTCCTCAGTAAACGCATCTCCGCTGTTTCTAGTAGTTGCTAAGTTTTGGAGGTATCCGGTCTTGTCTCTGAAGTGTATGTCATTATTGGTCTTATGTTGCTTTGTAAATTCTTGATTTCACGTCGGTATTAATGTGGGGATTGCGCCATATCGTGTTATTAAGAGAACCTGCTATTTTATAAGCCTTTTGTACTTGATTTTTCACTTCCTTCTCCACATCTCCGTAGCTAGACAGTGTAATTCCTAGGTAATTTGTCTCCATTACTTGCTCAATGCTGATACCGTCGATTTCCAGTTTACATCTAATTAGTTCTTTACTGATTACAATTGTTTTAGTTTTCTGTGTAGAGATCACCATATTAAAGCCCTTTGCCCTTGTGTTGAATCTATGGGTTAGTCTTTGTAGATCGTCTTCATTGGATGCCATTAGGGCCGCATCATCTGCATAGCAGAGTATTCTGATTTCTTTGTTCCCCATTTTGTATCCTCTTCCTTTATTAATAGTATTGATGATTTCATCCATGATTAGATTGAATAGCGTTGGACTAAGCGAGTCTCCTTGTTTTATTCCATTGCCCATATCTATTGGATCTGTAAGCTGGTCATCTATTCTGACTTCCATATTGTTGTTCTGGTAAATGTTCTCTATTGTTTTTATAACATTTAGTGGAATTTCTCTATCGTAAAGAAGGTGAATTACATCTTTAAGCTTTACTTTATCGAACGCTTTCTTCAGGTCTATTAGACATATGAATGCTGGTCTGTTATACTCTAGTGCTTTCTCGGTAATCTGTTTTATGATGAATACTGCATCTGTGCACGATCTTCCTGTGCGAAAACCCTGCTGTTCATCCGCTAAGGTAATTCTCTGATTTATTTGGCCTTGCAATATTTTGGTTGTAAGCTTCAAAGTGGTGTTTAACAAGTTGATACCTCGGTAGTTTTTAGGTTGTTTTTTATCTCCTTTTTTGTATAATAGGATAAGCTCGTTTTTCTTCCACTCTTCGGGTATGTTATTATGTTTAATGATTTTGTTAATTAGTGCTGTTAGCTGTTCTGTTAATGGTTCTCCACCATATTTCAGTAATTCATTTGGAATTCCATCTTTACCTGCAGCTTTTCTGTTCTTCAGTTTTTCTAAAGTTTGTTTTACTTCTTGTACGGTTATCTCGACTTCCTCGTTTGTAATGATTTCTGGTTCTAACATCATTTGCTGTTCATCATTATAAAGCTTCTTTAGGTATTCAATCCATGTGTCGTTATCTATGTGTTTCGGTTCGATTAAGTCTTTCATCTCTGATCTTTGGCCTCTTATGAAACGCCATATTTCCTTTTGTAGACCGTAAAAGTCGTGTTCCATTTCTTTTGAGAAGCGTTCCCAGTGTTTGTTTTTAATTTTTCTTACTAGTGCTATTGTTTCGTTTCTTATCTTTTTGTAATTGTTGTATTCTTGTGGTGTTTTGTTAGACATGTGTCTTAAGTAAGCTTTCTTTTTTTCTTTGCATTTTTCTTTCACTTCTGCGCAGAACCACGGAGTTTTCCGCTTTTGGAAATATTTATTTTTAAGAATTTTCCTTTCTCCTACAGCTTCTTTTGCTGAATCTAGGATGCTTGCTTTAATTTTCGCCCAGCTTTCTTCGATTCCATCACTTTCTACGATGTGCACGTTGTCGGGTTTATCTTTGACTCTCTTTTGGTATAGAAGTTTTGTTGATTCGTTCTGCAGACTCTCGACTTTTACCTTTGTGGTGTATTCTTCTTTTTTATTTTTATTGTTTTTATTGTTACATATGCGTGTCGTCATTCTGATTTTTCCAAGTATAAGCTTATGGTCGCTTCCTATTTCTGCAGATGTTAGTGCTCTTATGTCCAATACTTGAGAGGGATGTATTATCCTGTTGGTCAGGATGTAGTCTATCATTGACCTTTGACCTCTTGTATTTTCGAATGTGTATTTGTATTGTTCCTTATGAGGGAAAAAGTGTTGTTGATGCGTAGTTCATTCTGCGTAGTTAATCTTCATTCTATCATTCTTCGACCAGCTTTCAAGGATATTATAAATACATCCCACTATGATAAGGTGCTTTATACTGATGCATCCCGGAACGCAGATGGAGTTGGCTGTTGCCACTACAGTTGATACAGTGCGCGACAATACCAAATATCCAATTTTGTACCATATACAAAAGGAACTCGAGGAACTCTTGAGTTCCTTTTTGACAATCACAAAAGTGTAGCTCTGTGTACCGATTCCTTATCCCCAATTCATTTGTTAAAATTATTTAGAATCAACATCATTTAGTGCAAAAAATATTAGAATTGATCCATCTCCACACTTCCCGAGGGACTTTAAAAACAATAATATGGGTGTCGTCTCATATAGGCATCCAAGGAAATAAGATGGCTGACAGCGCTACAAAAGAAGCATCGACATCCAACTTACCCGTCTACAATATACAGCTCCAAGAAGATTTAAAATCAAAATTCAAAAGGAATATCCAAGACAAGTGGAAGGAACTTTGGATCACCAAAAACACAAAGCTCAGAAAAATACAACCTAATGTTTACAGCTATTTATCCCTAGCATCTCTGAACAGAAAAGAAAAGATATCAGTATGAGGATTAAGAATAGTACACACACGTTTGACACTCGGTCATCTTATGTCCTTTACAGACCAACATTTATGCTCTCACTTCAACGATATTCCTATTACCTGACACAGAATGTCAACACTACCAGGCCACCCACATTGCCAACAATATAACCCATTGTCTAGAAGAACTTCTGAACCGTTTAAGCCGACTCAAGAGCCTAATAGACTTTTTAAAGACTTCTCAATGATATTTTTATTCTTCACTATTGTATACTCTGTATCATAACTTTGTAGGTGCTATTGTAAACTTTTGTTTGCGTGTCAATGACCAAAAATATCGAGACACGTTAATTTGAAATAAAAAAAATACATTTTTTGTTAATTCGAATTCCCCCCTTAAAATTCTCTATTGCTTCTTGAAAGATTTCACCAGAGTATATGTTAAACAGCAGGGGTGGTAGAGTATATCTCTGTTGGAACAAATTGCTTTTGTACTGTACTTTTGTACTTTTGGACTGTATACATCTACTGTATAAAAGAAACATACCAATCATTATTATACAAACCATCGAAAACATCTACCTCCAAAATCGAATACAGGCAAAGATAAATGGAAAACTAACACAGTGTATACCAGTACAAAGCGGAGTCAGACAGGGTGACTCGTTGAGCCCACTTCTCTTTAATAAAATAATGGACGAAATAATACCAGCAGTACTTAAAGGTCATGGCTACAGAATGGGGAACAAAGAAATTAAAATATAATGTTATGCAGACAACGCCGCATTAATCGCCGAGACAGAAGACGAGTTCCAAAGATTAGCACATATCTTCAATACAACAGCTAAGAAATACAATATGATAATATCAGCAGACAAAAACCACCAGACAATACCCACTACGGTGTAAAATTGAAATTGATGTGAAAATAATAAAGCAGGAAGCAAGGTTTACATATCTGGGAATAGATATAACTAGTTACGGAGATGTTGAAGAAGAAGTACGACAACAAAGCTTAAAAGAAAGTAAAGCGGCGAGTTCTCTTAATGAAATAATCTGGATGAACAAACAACTAAGACAAGACCCAAAAACAAGAATCTATAAAGCAGCAATTAGACCTATATTAACATGTACGGCGGGACAAGACCTGACACATCTAAAACGAGACGACTGCTAGAAATAACAGAGATGAAAATACTCCGACGAAGATCAGAGAGAAGTCTATTGGATAGGGAGAGAAGCGAAAACATAAGAAGAGCATGCAATATAGAAGACATAAATGGATGGGTGAAAAAACGAAAACAGCAGTGGAACCAACTCATCAGTAGAATGGCAGAGGATAGAATAGTACGAATAGCACGAAAAAAGTCACCAAATTGACGAAGAAGTATTTGCAGACCACGAAAAAGATGGTGCGTCAATTTAGAAGGCTAATATTAAAGAAGAAACAGGCTTTAAAGCCTACATACTAGAAGGAAGAAGAAGAATAAGCAAAAAATGTATAAACAAAATTAGGCAATAAGCTTTCATACTTCTCATATAACAAACACTCATAACTTTCGTAATTTTAATATTAAGTCCACCGTAAAAATATATTGGAATAAACTGATTATAGAGCTCACATTCTGTTGAATTTTAGATGGTCTTAACTATATCAAAACTTATCCTCTTAGCATTGAATGGTATGGTAGGGTGAGTAGAGTAGTATCTCCAATTATAAAAAAAATATAATTACCAGTAATTCATCATTTCTCTGAAAGGAGAATTCTTTTGTAAGTTTGTATGCATAGGCTGGGTTCTATACATTTGTACTTGCTCTAACTCGCAAATCTCTTGATTGGAAAACGTTTCCTCAATAATTGGATAGGCCGTGCTGGTTTCTACATGAAACGCAAATCCTCCTTGTCTTACCAATTCCAAACCTTCTGTCGGTGAATAAAAGCCCGAATTGTTATTGCTGTTCTTTATTTTAACTTCAAATAGTTCAATCGCATCGGGATCGGTAGTTTGCTGAAACCAAACAAAAAAAAATCATTTGATTTATGCTGGATGCCAAAAATCTAATACAGCACTGTTGCATATTAAAAAATATAACGATGTAACATTAAATATATGTGGAAAGAAGCTCAAACATAATACTGGTAAATGATATTTTTTTATGAAATATGCTACAACGTACTACTTAGTGGTAAAATATGGAGAAAATTTATTGATTTACAGTCCTTATGGCAGGGTTATTGACCTGTTAAAAAAATGTAAGCGAGTGTATGGCAATACTTGGTTGCAATGGTGGTGTATTAATTAAATCGTGGAAATGGTTCTGATAGAAAGGCATTAAGGTAATAAATGTCTGAAAATATTTTCAGGTCATAATAATGAAAAGACCTTTTCCAATATAACAAAATTTATACTGAAATGTACATTATAGGGGAAGGGTGGGCAAGTCGACATACTCAAAGGTAAAATCGATTTATTTTGAAAAATGTACAAGGTATCATAAATAAAAGGCGCCATAATACAAACAGAACAATCTTTTTTAATATTTATCAAGTGAAAAACAAAAACAGAACTCCATTTTAAAACTGTAAATGTAAAACAAAAAACGGCATATATGTGGATTTATACATTAAGTGATCAAATATCAAAACATAATTCACAAATAAAGTTCTTAGCCTTCATTGGTAGTCCTGCACACTCTGCATGAGCCCACATTTGACATTTTTGGCAACGTAATCAGCCTTCTTGTCTTGAGATTTGGATAGGCTGTATAACTTATTGCAATAGCAATAATCGTTGTCGTCCCCATTAAAGGGCTCTTCACAGTCTGATTTTTTTTTTCATAGATTTTAACTTTTTGAGTGTCTTTATCTCCACATTCTAAGGTACCATCAAACACATTTTTCTTTACTGAGTTTTGCTTATTCCCTCTTACCTCTCTCACTTTCTTAATACTCTGTTGTTCGCGAAGACTCTGGAGGTATGGACTCGTGGTAAGAACATCTTGGTAACTATTGGCATTTTGGTTATTAGCTGAAGTTTCTACAAGTTCATGTGTCTTTATATTTAATCTTGTAGATAACTGCGGATCTTCTTCATTCAAATGTGCTGATAAAGGGATTCATTGTTTGTATTATCAGCCTCAAGTGGTACGTCAGTTACTATACTTGGCAAATACATGTGTTCTTTAAATATATCCGGGTTGAAAGGTGAGATCTCTGTTGCTTTGAATTCATTCGCTTAAAGCTATCGTTGGTAGTGCGGTTTTATTGTAGGCGGAAGAAAAAAGCGACGCGACCTGGTAAAAAGTGATGACACGACTTGGACTTTCTTTCAACCATTGAGTTGCTGCTGCATCGTAGTACTTACTTAGTGGCCCGAAAAAGCACACATCGAGAGATTGGAGACGATGTGTGCAATTGAAGGCAACCAAAATAGCACAACTGAATTATTTTTTGCAAGTTCCAATGCTTCTAAATTTTTATTGCTGACATGCCCGTCTAAAATTAGTAGGGCTTTGTGTTTGGTGTTCGGTCGAACATGTCTAATAAAGTGTTCTATCCATTTTTAAAATATTTCCCCGGTCATAAAACCTGATTAATTGTACAAACATAAAGTCCCAAGGAGGAAAAAGTATAGCAGGTGAAATATAAGTTACCCCTGAACTCATGCACACCTTTACAGTTGAATTTACTCCTCTTTCCTCGCTGGTCACAGCACCCACTTGTTTCTTTCCTTTTAGCGTAAAAATTTTAGTTGTAAGTATTTTGTACAGTTGTCATTCCTGACTAGTTCATGTTAAAAATCATACTTTTGTCGATTTCTTCATTATTTATTACGTAACGTAGATTTTAAAAAAAAAGGTCTTTACTTGTGGTTTGTTAAAACTTTCAGCACGTGCCATTGATGTTGCCTCTGACTGACGTAAAGATATATTCGGATGCTGTAGTCGAAAAGAGCGTACCTCTGCTTGCAATGTTTTTCGTGTTATTAAATTGATGTTTTAAATTTATTCTCACTGCAAATTCTAATTGCCAAAATGTGGACATCTACGATCATTAAGCCAAAAAATCTGGCTTCCAGTGCTAGCATATGCTCGACTAGATCCTCTTCTAGTTCTCGATTCAAGGTTGTTTCATATCTGCCAAGATGCTTTCTTGTACCAACTGCTATTTTATTTCGATTCATGGCACGGTGGCGAAGTGTTGCCAGGGGCACTTGATAATGCCTACTAGCCTTTAACCAACCCATGAGCTTTTCCGCTACAGCCTGCTTCAGTCGCTCTATGTTCTTCTCATTTCATGCCCCTCTATTGGTTTTTCTTTTATAATTAGAAACCATCTGCAAATAAAAACAGCAGTTGCAAATTTTAGGTCATGAAGGCCAAGGGCGGTTCTATGGGGGGACGGGGGAGTAATAGGGATAATTACTTCCCCCAGACAGGTCCCACCATAATCTAAATGAATGATAAAAATATTATAGGTCAGAGCTTAAAAATATACTTAAAAAATATATAGGTCCCCATGTTTTTACTTTTATAATAATAGTAAGTACTTAAAACATTAGGTTTAGGTACTTACTGATATCTGATATCAACTTTTATGTCAGTTCGTTAATGTCTGTGTCACGTTTTACGTTTTGGTAAGCCATATATATATATATATATATATATATATATATATATATATTTTACAATATCTGTTTGTCCTTATATATATATATATATATATATATATATATATATATATATTATATATACACATTTTGGAATCTTAACAAAGGCAAGGATTTCCTGCCGAAACGTTGATTGATTGCAATGGAAAATAAAATCTAGTTCCACATGTAACATATCTTTATTGAACCTAAACCCAAGAAACATTAATTTTATATTAAATATAATACGGTTCAAGAAACTCAAAACTACAATATATATATATATATATATATATATATATATATATATATAATATATATATATATATATATATATATATATATATATATATATATATATATATATATAAATATACAATATAAATCTAATGTATCATATTGATTTAACTTACCACAAAATAGTTTCTATCTATTAAAATATCTTCAACTCCGATTTTCAATTGGCTTTCAGTTAAATCTTTCAGATTAAATATGGTTCTGGGAGGATCAAGTAGAAGATATGAGACTATACTGGCAGAATAAAATTGATAAATTAAAATGGAAAAAAGAAAAACAAAGAATGCCAGTATACGACTACTAAAGAAAAACGGAGAACAAGCAGCTCCTAAAAATTTAAACATAAATATAGGATAAGTATATATGTATTATTCAAAATTTAATAATATTGAATTAAAGCCTACTCTAGTTTTACATGTTTAACACTTATTTTGTTGAATTTCTTATTTTTACTAGTTTTATTCTGCGTATTTTATCTACTTTTACATTATTTACATGATAATTTACAAGATCATTATAAAGGTGTAAGAATTGTAGAATTTCGATTTCCCCTCGTATATGTTAACACCTAATACCGAAAAATATTCTTAATATTTTTGCATCGCTGAGATTAATAATATAAACATTTTTAGTTTGTCTATATAACACAGATGGGATTTATTTTGGTGTTGATTCCGCCTATAAGAGATAATGCGCAACAAATAAACAGGAATTTTTCCGTTTATGCGTTGTTTATACCGAGTTGGGCGAATGATGTAACTCGACGATGGACCGCGAAAGCAGTCAGCTATTGTTTGAGTCCGGATTTTTCTTCAAGTTTGCAGCCATTTGAGAGGTCCACATAATTTTAAGAATTGCCAAGTTTTAAATATTGCAGTTAGTTGTCATCCAGGATAATTCGAAGCCCGAAATAGAGTTCTACCTCCCGAGAGCTTGTCTATTTTGTATTTCATGGTCACCCTAGACGAATTGCAGTCTATATGGGGCACAGTTGTGTATTGTTTGCAGTGTTTTTAATTAAATTGTAATCCAAAAATATTTTTTAAAGGAAATAGATCAGTCAGTGATACCAGGTAGTTTCTATTAAAATTATTCAATTTTTTCTACAAATTTACAATTTTTCAATAATAAAAATAGTTTGATGATTAATGACAAAGCTAAAACATTATAAATACATAAAATTATTAGTTTTATGGATTAGCTAATTTGTCATATTAGTCTTCTTTTAAATAAAGGTAATTTTTATAATTAAAATTGATATTTCAAAAGAGTTTGGTATTTTATTTCGACATATGACAGTTAGTATTATCCTTTTCTGACATTTGGTACCTAACCATAATTTTGAATTCTGTTTTGTTTATAGGTTAGCCTCAATGTAAGCTCCATTGAGAAATTTAAATGTTTTTCAATTTTAATATTAATTTAAGTTCGTATAAGTGCCAAAGTCTGGAGCTTGTAAATCGTTATAAATGTCGCAGTTGATACATTTTGTTAATAATATTTGTAATAACTGTTGATGTGAACTAATAATAAATATTATGTAATATTTCTCTCTAAACCAGGAGTTGTAGAATTATTTCTTTTAAAAAGATTTTCACCCTTTAATATATTTTGGGAAAGAAAAGATTTTCTTTCTGTTTAGCAAGAGGATAAACGGAGTCTATTTCAAATAGTTTAGGAATCTTCTTGAGTTTTGTTGCTCAGGAAATCTCTGTGAGTAATATTTTATTTTCGGTCTTTTTAATTACCTCTTTCAGTCCCTCCTGTATTCAATTACTTACGCCCAGCTTTTCAACCAAAACGAGAGTGGCCGTTTGCAAACATTTGGTTTGTTTGCTTACCCTATCTCCAGCCCAATAATTGTTCAGTCCATAATGTCAACCACCTATAAGTGATACCCGATGTGGTAGGCAAATTATATCGTTACAGAATACAATTAAAACAGCGAAAAACACACGTTTAAATGAACACATCCTACTGGTCACTAATGTTTTGCTTATACTTAAATACATTAGGAAATATCGTAAATAACCCCTAAATTAGATATAAGAAAATTAAAAGAACCTTCACCAACAGACATCAAAATCATCTATAAATTTAACACGAAGACCAATGGCATCTACAAAAATTGTAACAAACTGCTCCGTCAACTTATTTAGCGAGATATTCCGTACGAAGTAGAAGTTTTGCTTTCGATCATAATTGTTTACGGCATGGTAAGAAACATGTAAATAGATCTAAAACATTTAAGAAATGAAGGGATTATAACAATTTTAACGAAAAAAACATCCCACAGCACTTTCAAAAACAATAGTGAATCCTAAGTAAAAATAAAGACTAGACAGAATCCACCACTGAATCTTAAAAATAATGAAAACACGGAAAACCTCATATTTGGGACACATATACAGAAATGAGAAATACCAGCTACTGCAGCTTCTTATAGAGGGGAAGGTAGAAGAAAAACGTGGTCCTGGTAGACGGCAGGCGTCCTGGTTGAAGAACATTCGTGAGTGGACTGGTTTGGATTCTCAATCTTTAATAAGAAAAGCCAGGGACAGAAATGATTTTGCTGAGGTTATCGCCAACCTTCATTGAAGACGGCACCCAAAGAAGAAGAAGTTACTAGCAGTACAGTACAGTAGACTAGCGCGAAGCTCATACTATGTTTTCTATATTTTTAAAATTAAAATAATATTTTTCTAGTTTTTTTTTAGGCAGTTTTTAATTTAAACCTACTTCGAATAAATACATAATGACCAGAAACGGTTTTATTAACAGTAGTGAATTTATATGAAGAACCGCTTTTTTTATGACGCTCCCTGTGACGATCCCTTTTCGTGGCGCTATTGTCGTGACGCTCGCTTCAGCATTTTCTATAGAGAAAAAAAGTAATACAATGCAATCATAGATTCAAAAATTAAATAAAATAGAAAAATTAAAGTAAAAACGAAACTATTTATATAAATCTATATAAGAGGATAGATAGATGATTCTTCCATTCCATTTGATTTGTTATACTTTATTATTTTTTTTATTTTAGTTTAGTTTTATTATTAGCTTAAATTGAATATATTAAAAATCAAAGTCATAGATTTAAATTGAGTTACCTTGTTGACAAAACGCTCCCATGGCAAATAATACCAAGAAACTAAAATTTGTTTCTTCAACTCTTACTTTCTTATCAGGTAATAGAATCATTTCGCTCGAAAAAACTATTTTCATTAGTATAAGAATAACACATACAGTTAAGATAATCAAAAGCCAAACGTTGGTTTCCAGTGGTCTTAAAAAAATTTCATAGGAACTTGCTGTCACTTTCGGTTTTTGATATATAAAAAACGATCTAAAACAAAAGGTACATAATTGTAGTATGGCAATATGTATGTAATGAAATAAAATATAGTTAAACAAAAAATAACTTTTAGTTACTATTATTAATCGAATACAAATAATTATACTTTAAAAGGTACCTCCTTCCAAACAAAAACTTTCAAATCCTAAGGTCCTACCTGCAAGACCACCATTACCTTGTAAAAGATCACGATGGGTATATCAGGCTTCACCCAATTATGGCTCGAGGTCCCTCAATGCAGTGTTTTCGGACCAGTGCTGTACTTAATATTCACTGCGAACTAACCTACATAACCAGAAGTCACAACAGCAACTTATGCAGATAAAACAGCAGTAATCTCTTCTCATGAAGACCCAAATGTAGCATCACACAGAGTACAGGCTTGTACAGAGTACAGAATCACACAGACAAACTTGGCTAAAAATATGGCGTCTACGAGCCAACGAGACAATATCTGCGCAGGTAACATAAACAAACCGCAAGGGAAACTATCGTTAAACGGTCAACCTCTGCACCAGATAGAAGACATAAAATACTTGGAAATGTATTTGAATTACAGGCTCACATAGAGAAAACACCTATCTACCTGCAGCAAATAAACTCAGCAAACAATATTAGTTAATAAACTGGAAGTGAAAACTGTCAATCAACAACAAAATGTTAACATATATAGTTATTTTAAAACCCATTTGGAGCTATGGACTCAAATAATAAGGGTTATCAGTTGGTCGTATGGTATGTTTGCATGCTGGAGAGAGAGCGTGATTTGATCTGATTCTGGTTATTGGTTTTATAAATAATCTATTTGACTTATATTTAATCTATCTCTCATTAGGAATTAGTGGTTGGTAATTTTTAAAATTTATTTTTGTTGTTCTTTGGTTGTATATTCGTTGCAAACTTTGTTTGCGATTGTTTTTTCTGATATCATCTATGTCTGTTACTGGAAGAAGTATGTTGTTTATGTTGACTGGCTTCTTTATATCTTAATATTTTAGAGTTTCTTTTTACCCAATAAATATTAATTAAACAGCCCGAGGAAGTAATAGCATAATGTAGATTCTTTATTTTTATCTCCATGTGATTTAGGTTTTTGTGGTTTGGATACTTCAGCAGTAAGTATAAATACTGAAGCTTCATCAGGTAATCGCCATGACTCTTAATAATCAAAATGCCAGTGATATATTGCACAATCCATTTTATATTGAATTTTGGAGCCGTTATTAAAAAATACATTGAAATATATAGACCACTTATCTTTAATTATTTTGTTGATAATACTGCCTGGTAGGTTAGAATCCATGTAATATGTTTATATTACCTTAGAAAAGAGAGTATCCGAAGGTTAAGTGTAAATTGGTGGTACTTTATTTTTGTATAATTGGTCTTTATATCTTGGTAATTTCTTGTAGCTTTTAAAATGTATGAAAGTTTTTTTATTACACCAATATAACATGTTGCTTAAATCTACGACTATATTCAAGTTAAAATATTTTTAAGTAAAAATTCTCGATTTTTTTAATTTAAGTAAATTTTAAAAATTCGTAAATTTTTGAGTAAAAGTTTCCCGATTTTTTTATAATATAATAAATTTGATTCTTCCATAACTGTTTACGATCCTAATATATGATAAGCTAAGATATTTTACATAATTTTTGATGAGAAATTATATTTTAACTTATTTAAAGTTGCCTTAAGGAGTTTGAGGAGTTTTTCAATAGACAAATTTCAGTCTTTGTAGTTGATATGGATAACAAAGAATGGTAATCATTTTTTATAAAATCTAGTGTTAATTTAAGTTGAGGCCTACAAATATCTAGCGAAGTATGAGATGTGTACAATACGACACCATCTGCAGATTGCAATTTATTAAAGTGTACAATGTCTATTCTAGATCTATATTATACAATGAACAAAAACGTGGACTTAAAAATACTACCCTGTTATCTACCTATATCCGTTCGCCTTGATAAAAGCTTGTCATTTATTTTTAAGTAGGTCCATTTATTCTTGTACAAGGATGTAATGTAAAATAATTTAAAATTTTTACTTGCCTTCCAAGGTATAGAAATTTCGGTTACAGAATATTTAAATTTATGTAATTAAGCGCAGATAATACATCTATATATGCTGCAGCTACTGACACTTGGCTTGTGAAATTGATCTATAAAGATGAAACTAGCAAAGTGAGAGCAACTTGTATCGATCTGGATTTTGGAAGCCATAATGAAATTAGGGGAAGATATCTTCGAACTGAAGCCAGTTTTCATACCGGTTTTTTTTTCTTAGATATTCCGTTATTCAGCCAGACACAAAATAAATAAGACAGAATAGGACCAAAATGGCCCAACACAAAGTTAATATTACATTAACATTAAGAGAATTACAGAGATACAGGGACACACTCTTTTCACTCGGGAACGTACTAATGTATTGATTTAAATTATACAAATCTTTTAAAACTAATCAAATATTTATTAAGCCGATTAATCTTTCTGGAGCTTTAATTATACAAGAACATAAAGGTATAGGCCTGTAAGATAACATTGTTATCTGGTCACATTAAAATAAATATAAATTAAATTAATATTATTTATTAAAATTTATTTAAATACTTAAATATTAAAAATGAAAAAATAATCAACACATCAAAAAAAGAAAAAAAAACTTAATACCTTCGACAAACTATGATACGATCAGAAATATCGCTGTGACAAAACATAATAAAAAGTAAATATTAATAGTAGCTACAAATAAAAACAAGATTGCTCTATTGATGAAAACTGAAGAAGAAGGCTCATGTTTTCATTAATACCACTAAAAATAAAGTGAACATATGGATCAAAGAACAAAGGTGTAACTAGCATACATTATATAAATGGCAACTGTAAATTATCTGATATAAGCAGCACATTACATTTAACAACAATTCTTTTCTTAATGTAATCTATTATTGCGTCTAAATGACGCAATAATAGATTACAAAATATCGCACCCTCAGTGCAAGACTGCAGTAACTCAAAATTTTATGAAATTGAATGCATATGAAATATGCATATCTATCCTCTGTAAAACTTTAGTAACTTTCAAATGCTTAACCGGTTACATATTACAACAACAACAGTTTAACCATTTTTTCGTTTTTGTACAAAACTGTTCCGTGCAAAACTGTTTTAATTCTAATGTAACAGAGTTACAACAGTTTTGCACGGAACATTGCAATGGTTTCGATAACAAGCAATGAAAGGCACAAAAAAAGTAAAATATTTGTTATTTTAATATCTATATCTGTGGTATTTAATTTTAATATACAGCATGTCTACGTAATCTATTAACGGCCGAGACAATAAACAAAGATTTACGAGACCAATATATTCATGTAAAGGAATACCAGTTATTTTAAAGCTTGTGTATTAACAATATTGACAATTTAAAAATATCTATTCTCAAAAAACTTTTTCTATAAAAACTAAATCCCAAATTGTATTAAATCTTCATGCAACCTTCCGGGGCGATTGTCTTATCATATTGTCCCCCCGTAATTCCCAACTTTTACTCAGATAGTGAATTTCAATAACTGTGTTAGTCACTGTACTCAAGGTAGCCTGATTTGCATATTTTTATTATAGTCTTTTTGTTTTGAATTTAAATAAAAATATTAAAAGTTTTACAAATAATTTTTCTACCTTGTTATGACATTGCCATTACAAAGCGAAGAAATTTTGGCTATCAGAAACATCTGCAAAAGATTAAAATTGCTGCTAGCGATAAGCCGTTTTATTAGGTACCTGTTTACTCTAGGTAGCTATCTGATTTCTTGGAATCTATTAAATGTAAAGTTTAATACCGTACTAAACCCTAATTGTTGTTGGGGATCATTTTTTCTTTACTTACAATGATTTATTTTGTATTAAATGTAATGTTTAGTGCTATTCCTATCGTTGTTGGAGATTACTTTCTCTTTACCTACCCTGATTAACTCATTAGAAACGATTTCTCAAGAAATAAGTACGAGAAGGTACATTTTAGTAGTGTAGTTTTCAATATAATCTGTTATTAGCCCTTGAAAGTGATAGATGCAGAATTAATGATTTCGAAAATGTCAAAATTAAATAGTTCCAGAACATTGAGGATTTTATCCCTGTGTGCGCAGACAATTGAGGATAGCAACGACATGCAGAGTAAGTTGAATTTAAATTAATTGTTGTATTATAATCTATCTATCTACTCGTGTTTTTAAATTCAGTGGTGAGAATTTTTACGACTAGTGTAAACTGAACGAAATAAGGGCGTTCAAAAAAATACTTCCGATTTAAGGGCAATGATTAAAAGTACTTAGACACAGAAGTATATTTAGACAGATATAAAAATTCTGCTATGTAGAGATAGTCTGCACACAATTGTCTTTAAGTACAACTATGATGACGAACTATAAAATTCTTTTAATCTAACAAAATCATCACGGACTACACATAATATACGAGAAGGGCTACTTAAACCTGCCTACAAATGACAGCCAAAAATTCAAACGGCCAAATGAAAGATTTAGTATACTTATACCATTCGTATGACACCAGAAGCCCACCACAGTTTTTATAAAAATATTTTGGCCCAAGATAATATACGAGAAGAGGACAACTAACAGAAAATGTGTCTACACTTTTTACAATTTTCTCCGTGCAAAACTGTTGTAACTTTGAAATTCCTAATTTTTTTACCATTAATATTATTTTATTTAAATTTCTATTTTTGATTAATTTAATATAGGCTGAAAAGCATGCAAAATCATAATTATAAAATGTTAATTTTTTTAAAACTTGTGTCTTATTTCACCCATATTGGCACGAAAATAAACAAAATCGTCTTTATCTCGAAACTTACTTATTCTGACTTACTGCAGTCTTGCACTGAGGGTGCGATATATCTGAAGACAGAGCCTTGCAGTGGGTCCTGGTAATTGGCCCCTGCGCCTCCGCCAAAGTTTTAAATATTCAAAATAAAACTATACTTATTAATTTATATAAAAATAAATAAACAAAATACATATTTGTCATTTACATTCAAGTCCTTTTTTTTTAAATCAAAATTGACAAAATCAAAGTGTTTAAAATACGTACAGCTGCAATGTACTTACTTCAAGATCCAATTTCCATAGCCATAATCTACGAAGGGCATTCTGTCTAACTTGAATAATAATGGAGAACTTCCAAAATCTATTAATCTCCGTTCTAACAGACTTACTAAACCATCGAATCTACCATTATCTTGAATATAACCCCATGAATCGGTTCTTTGCATTTTTAAACTAAAAAGAAAATCCAACATACATACCACTGAGCAGTACCTGAGTAAGTCATGAAAGGATATCGACATACCTAGATACTAGTGATGGTGAATTTGCGTGATTTTTAAATCACGCTAGGATCAGTGTCCATAATTTTTAAATAACAGTAACAATAAATAATATATTTAATACCTTTAATAATATTATTTTAAAAAAGTGAAATATCAATAATATAGAATACAGTTGCCAAAATTAATCGATATTACTCACTGTGACTGTCCCGTTCCCTGTGAATATCATAATATTTATTATGCCACGTGTTTGCACGTTTTGCGAGATGTTGACGAAATTAATAACATATATCTGATCACTGATCACGGTTATCAATGTTAATAAGGAATGTAAGTTATCGCTGATTTTAACATCACCGTGAATAAATAACTGGTATTGAAATCACGTCCCATTTTCTACTACATACAAGAACAAGGAAATAAAATTACCGCAATTACGGCATTTTGGGGAAAACAACATTAAAAGAGAAAAAATAGGAGTAAAATTTACGTTAAAGCCAAATATTTACAAAGTAAAAAAAGTTAATTGTAATAAGCTTATCAATATTCTTTTCTAAGACTAAGTACATGAGTAGTAAGAACAACTGAAGAATATCCTTCATTTAAATTATAATCACATAAGTAACTATGCTAAAGATGTAACAGCCATATTTCAACGGCGCAATAAAGGTAAACTAAAAATATACAAACAAGAAGAAGAATATAGAGAAGTTAAGGTATTGATTTTATTTTAAATGACTTAATGTATGAGCATTTTTAGAACAACTAATTAAATAACTAAAATATGTAGCCTCCTTTAAAATATATCAAACTCTTTGCTGATAGCTTAGCTTTCCTTTAACTTTATATATCTGGTATTGAAACCCCAATAAACATGTAAACTTTTATTGTTGTTAAAAATTTAAACAACTTATTACAATTGCATGCACCAAATTTTTTGATTGATAAAAACAAAAAACGAGTAAGGCAGTCCAGTGGGACTGCCGGTAGAAGTTATACTTTTATACACGCGTTTGCCGTTACAAATTTATATGGAAGTCAATCTGCACAATAATTACATATGTAATGCTAAAAGTAAGAGAGAGTACAAAGAGAAACAGAATTAGATATATCGATATGGTGCATCGTTTGCTTTATATAAACAACATTTGTCCTGTAATAGGAGTATAGTAAATGAAGGATTGAAGCAGTATTTTGATGTAAATGTATATTTTTATTTTCATATATGTATGAAAGGAGTTGTACACAAAAGAAATTTTTTACACATACTTTGCAGTAAAATTAATTGTTAATTTTGTTATTAATACAAAAATACAATACAGTACACTGCAACATAATTCAATATAATATTACAATACAAATGCAGTATTCATAAGTATTTAAAAATGACAATATATATATAATATATATATATATATATATATATATATATATTATATATATATATATATATATATATATATATGATACCACTGTCAATTTGTCTGACATTGACAGATACAAAATTTAATTGTTGCTTTTTGTGTATATAATTACACATTTGAACCTTCTTGGGATATTACAAGATTTAATTTATAACACAATGACGTTATTCTTCGACGATATTGTGTTTTGTGTTTTGTGTTTTATTTCTTTACTTCGTTTGGAGTATCAGAAATCGAATTCACTACGAATATTAACCATGATGAACGGCATTTGGAATGCAATTTTAGATTCCCTTGCCGATTTATTCATCAAGAAGTTTCTTCGCAAGTTTTAGGAAGCACGGTGGCTGATATTTGAATTCGATTTCGCCAGGTAGAAATCCTATGGTATTTCTTTTTTTATTTAATTTATAATTTAACATGCCTAACACGAGGCTCAAGACAAATCTGAACAGAATGGAAAAAATTATAATAATATTATTATCATTAAATATATTTACAAAAGGAACATTTTTAATCTCAAGAGAGAAAGAGAGAAAAAACATATCTTCTGTCTCTCTCTTACCTATATCTTATATTTGTAATGATTTTGCCGATTCAATCCCGTACACATTTCCAACGACGAATGCGCGTATAGAAGTATAAGTTCAATAACAGAGTAAATAAGCATATTTTAGTACTAACCTAAAATTGTACATTTGTTTACAGTGTTGAACAGTTACTGCTTGAAATCTATGTTGTGAATCTATCTGCCTATTCTCGTCACTTGCAAGATAGTCTTTTAAGGATTGGTTGAGCACTGGAACCTAAAACTCAAAAGTTATATGATACTTAACACAGTACAGCATAGCTTATTTACTGTATACACTCAATACAAAATAGTTTTCTTCATTTTCTTTCAGTAATATGCGCAGATTTAGAGGTTGGTAGCCTTTATGGGAATTTGTAAATATATTTCTCGATCTTCTGCGGTATGTAACGGACTTTATCTACTAATATAATATCAATGCAATCTAAGCAGTTTTCTTCAGTCCAGAGTATCTTATTATAAACAAATATATAAATTTCCTCTTTTTTATCAGTTTCGTTAAAAATTATCTACTGGATGGTGTAACAATAAGAACTCATTAACGGCAAGTTATATCATAACAGAATGGCTAAATACATTTGATAGATGATTAGAGAGACAAAATCAAAAACTACTTTTATTCGTTAACTATTTACTACTTTAAAGAGGACACAACATAATAAAACAAACTCGTGTTTACATAATAAAAAGAGCAGGTTGCAAAATTTGGGGACACAGAATATATGAAAAGCATCAGATGCCAAAGTTGCACAGAAACGAATAACTAAAGTTATTATTAGTTTAATTGAAATTTTTGGCATAAAAGCGTATACCTAGTTATTGTCCTGATGAAAAAGTAGTTAAACAAGGAAGTAATTGCAACACATTCTATCCTAGAGAAAACATTTAGTGAGTTATTTGATGATATATTTATTTATATTAAAAACTAAGTATCCGTGATTTCATATATCTTACCACTATAGCAGACTTAAAATGTGTACCCGTCATATCTCTTCGTCTCCAGTATTTATTTTCGAAGTTAGTCATCACATAACCTACAGTTTCTTTATAAAATCCAATATTAAACATCTTTAATTCTCCTCCATGTTCCGATGCAGGGTTGTAAACGTCGTATATTGTATAGGCTTCGTCGGTTTCGTTAAAGCTGTCCAAAGTTACCAAATGCATATCAGAATTGATATTTAACTTTAGTAAACTTAGATCATCAGTAACATTTTCAGAAGTACTTGTCACTAGCCAGTGATAAGTTTCATAAAAGTATTTTTTATCAGTTTCCTAAAAATAGAGTAATTATCAATATTTCTAAGTTAGTAAGTATTTAGTCATTAGTAGGTACTTTATTTATTGGATATTACTTTATATTAGATGACACGCTACGCTAAAGAGTATGCGTTTTTTGTTTCTCATAAGCTTCTGCCCTCTCAGGGGTCAAACAATCTATGTCTAAAAAGGAAAGGTTAAAATCAAGTATAAAAAAATATACTGGCTCTTATTAAGACAATCAAAACTGTCGATCGAGAATAAATATAAACAGATAAAGCCATTTATCTGTTTGTAATAGCCACAATTTTAAATTTGATGTTTTAAGCAGTTTCTTTGCTGCTTTTTAAGTTCTTCCTTTGCACGTGTCTGTTTAATTGCAATAGAAAACGTGACCCTATGAAATTTAAATAAAAGATAGTCATTCTACAATTTCATTAGTTTCATTAAGTGATGGTTGTTCAGGTTGTTCTGATTCTTGTTTTATTAGAAACTTATTTGGTTCATCTACTTCTAATTCTTCATGTTCTTTGCAATAAGGTCTTGAATGGATTTCTTCTGCGTTCCACCAACGCTTCCTAATCAGTCGAACTATTTTCTACAGCATTTTCTGGCTATGATACATTTTTCAAACCTATTTTGGCAGTATTCCCAAACATAGCTTCATACGGACTACACTTGATGCCAGAATGGTAAGCTCGGTTCTTGGCGAATTGTACAAACCAAAGACCCTCTGACCACTTGTTTGTTTGGTTGTTTTCCAACCAGAAACTCAGCATATTTTTAAAGTCATAATTTGCACATCCAATAATAGATCCTTGTGACTGACTGTGTCTTAGCTTACCGTGTACTATCTTCAAATCTTTCCACATAGGGGACAGTTCTTTTATAATTATGTTGGAGAATTCTCGTCCATTGCCGCTTTGAAGAATGCTAGGAGCTATAAAGGTATAAAATATGTAAAGAAGAACAAATGTATCTTTTTCAATTTTTTCTGCATGTTAAATTTTTAATTGCCGTAATTGTGCAAATTTTGTTAGTGATCTTGGTAGACAAAAATGAATTTAGATTCATTATCTGCTAAGGCTTGCATATATTTATCAAATCTATTTAACATCTACTTTCTATTTCTTTTGATAGTATAGGTTTAACTACTAAACCTTTTTGAGAACTTAAAAATTTTTCTGACAAGTTTCACATAGATCTAAAGAGATCGTTATGATTTGTACAGTTATGGTCTTATACTTCTCTTGTAATTCTTTCAACATTATTTTTCTACCTTTATGCCCAATAGATTTATGTGCTTTGTCAGTGAATTTAAAACGTTCTTTAAAATGAACATAAAATAAAACATTCTGTTCATATTTACTTAAGGGGTAAATAAGTTTTTAAATTTTTCCTACCTTAACCGCTTATATTCATCTAATATTTTACCACTAGTTTTAGATTTACTTACATATGCATTGTTTATTAAACTTTGGTATTTCTTTTTTGTAAGAAAAATCATATTGTGCTTTTTACTAGTAATTACTTTAAGTACTTTTGTATTAAAACATTTTCCATTATTAAATAAAAATAATCAGTTTTAGGATAATGTAATATACAGTTTTGTAAGTAGATATGTTAACACAAAACGTTATGTTGGTAAAGAAAACACTTCAAAGATAGGTAAGTAACATTATTGTTAATTAAAAACCAAGAAGCACATGTCAAATCAGAATACAAATACTTTTGATGTACCAATAAACACTGCAGACTGAGGACTGATTTAGAGGTCTTTATAATTTGAATTTCTTACTTTACCAAGATCTTCTACGAATTGTGTACAATTACCGGTAAAAGTAGGAAATAAAATGGTTTTAACGATTATTTCCTACAATTACCGTCGATTCTGGTAATGTGTACAATTACCAGATTATCCACTCTCATTCTAACATATACTACGACAAAAAAACAGATGTTAAGCTTTTGTACAGTGTGTATCAATTTTTGTTTGTTTTAAATTTTTTAGCTTTGATTTAAGAACCTTATCTTCCCATAAATAAAAGTCAAGACGCATCCATAAAAATTTCATCAATTTATGTTTCTAATGAAATTTAAGAATGTGACGAGGCATTAACCAGGAAAAGCAGCAATTTTCTATTATGTTTTCTATTTTAGTGTTACATTTATACAGCAATCTCGTCATGATTTCCATTCTTCAAGGCTTTTTGTTAGAAACTCATTATAAGGATAATTTGTCAATATGACTATTCTTAAAACAGCAAGGCTTTTTACTTTTTCCAATTATGAATGAATCTTCTTTTGAACCTTTTATATTTACACATAGTCAAACGTTGTTTTGTTACTTTATTTTCAACGCATTTTTTATTTTCAATGCAAATGTTTTGTTAGGCATAGCACAGTAATAAAGCTCTATTTCGTCAGCATCAAATACATCTTGTGGAGAATAATTCCTTAATATCAATGTTGGTAGAGGTAATGGATTTTGGGAACAGCTATGACCTTGAAAATGCCACAAAGAATATAAATAAATATCTCTTTTCTTACTCATACTCTTTAAAGTCTTTTACAATATTTTAGAATCGAAGATATGTAATTATATTATTAATGTATTGGATTTTGACAAGAGCTATGCATTATGCCTATTTAGTACACAAGTTTATGTGAAATGTTCAAGGTCATAGCTGTTCCCAAAATCCATTACCTCTAACTTGGTTTTTCAGTCCTTTATGTCGCCAAATAAACCTCTACAGACTCATCACAAATTGACTAAAACGATTTAGATATGATACTCGGAGAAACTTTCCAATCATCCATTTGATGCTGCAAAATTTTCCATCTTGATTGTTGCCTCGAGTCATTTTTCTTTCAGTAGTCGCCTAGATATTAAAATTGCTTTACTTTTGGCTTTGCAAAATTAACTGTAGACAACCTGATCCATTGTCAATCCTTCTGAGTCCGAAAAATTTTATTTTTGCTCCAAGTTAAGACATTTCTCATAATCCTTTTCAACTCACTTTTATTTTTAATAATATCAATAATTAATCCAACCACATATTTTTTGGCCAACTTTTTCTTCTTTATGTACCATGTTTTTTCAGAACGTTGATTACCATCATAGCTATCGTAATTATATTCACTGCCACCCTAAAAAGCATGATTGTATCCTTACCTTACCAATCTTGCAAGTTCTTCAACCATGAAGTCTTTCTTCGTCCTAGACTGCATTTACCTACTATTTTCCCTTGCATATTTTGCAGCAATCTATATTTGGGACCTCTTATTACATGTCCAAAATGGTTTAAACTTTTTTGCTTGATACTAACTTGGTCGAACTTATACCATACTTTTCACTTTAGGCGATTATATTTTGTCTTTTAGCAAAAAATGTTTCCTCTTTTTACAGACTTATAGCAACTTAAGAACATTTGAAATACGAAAAAATAGTAAACAAACGAAATATGTATATATCAAAAAGACTGAGCCTAATTATGCAGGTTATGCAGATAAAAAAAAAATTATTCCATTAGGTCGTAGAATCGAAATAATGTTGGACAGTTTTCAGTTAAACCTACTAAACGATGGAAGAAATACTCATTTTGACATTTCTACTGGTAAATCTTCTGCCATAGACCTTTTATTATGTGATCCAGCATTATTAGCTACCTTATCTTGGGATATACTTTCTGATTTAAATAAAAGTTACCACTTTCCGATTGTAATAACAAATCCTGACATTAAACAATACTCTTGTAATGTTGAAAAATGGAATATTAAAAATGCAAACTTGAAAGAGTATTATAATCTAGTTTCAAATGAAATGAATACATTACATAAAATTTTACAATCAAATAGAAATATTGATAGTCAAATTCAAGAGTTTGGTAAAATGAATTCCTTCTTCTTCTTCTTCTTCTTCGGCTTTTCTCATTATGAGTTCGCCGTTTTCGTCCTCTACAGCACTCTATTCTCCCAGTCACCTTCTTTGAGGTCTCTATCTATCATAGCATTTCCGACGTATGATTTCCGTCTTGTAGCAGGTCTTCCTCTCCGTCTTTTCCCCGGCGGGTCCCAGTTTAATATTCTGTTCGGCCACCTATGCTCTGGCATTCTTTATACATGCCCATTCCACTGCAGGGATCTGTTTTCCAACTTTTTTGTAATTGGGCATTCTACTTCCCTTATGTTCCATATTTCCTCCGTTCTTATTTGATCCGCTCTTGTGATTTGTAGACATATCATAAAGTCCAGTTCAACTGTTCTTATTTTATTTCGTATTGTTGTTGTCATTGGCCATACTTCCGCTCCATATAGGGTAATATTTATCACTAAGCATTGAAAGATCCCCTTTTTGTTTTCTTTGGTTAGAGTGTTGTTCCATATCACTCCATGAAGTACTCTTGCGGCTTGTTTTCTCCGTGCTATTTTCATTTCTATATCCTTCATACAAGTACCATCTCGGCTAATCATTGATCCTAAATACTTAAAAGTCTTACAACTCTTAATAGTCTCTTCTTCTAAACTTAAGTTGAAATCTACAACCTCGGGTCCAATACATAAATATTCGGTCTTGCACATATTTGTCTTGAGTCCCCAAAGTTCATATTCTTCCTTTAATTTCCTTATCATATATTCCATATCCTCCCTGTCTTGTGCAAAAATGACTTGATCATCTGCGAAAAGTAGTGAATGTAATATATTTTCTTGTCCTGGTATGCCCACTGTTCCGCATTTTCTATACCATCTTTTCAAAGCCTGATCTATATATATATATATATATATATATATATATATATATATATATATATATATATATATATATATAACACTGTTTTTGATGGGTTGGAGTCAATAAAAGGGGCTATTTGTTGACTATTTTTTACTCGAGCTTTCAATTGTGATTACAATTTTTATCAAGAGCTTCTAAAAATACAAAATATCTTACAAAGTTGAACTAGAAATAAATAATGTTGTTGTTAACTCACCAAATAGAATTAGTTATTTATATAAAACTGCTGCTAACATTATTACAAAAAATATTATTAAAAAAAATGTTCTATTCTAATAAATGTTTCTCTGACAAATTTAGATAAAGTTTAAAAATTGTAATCACAATTGAAAGCTCGAGTAAAAAATAGTCAACAAATAGCCCCTTTTATTGACTCCAACCCATTAAAAAACAGTGTTATATTTTTTTCCAAACGAGTCACAAGTACTTCTTTTTTCTTACTCTTATATATATATATATATATATATATATATATATATATATATATATTGATAAAGTTGTATTTTATTAATTTTATTTTTTATTTATAATAAATGTAATTTTTAAATATGTGGTTCGTTGTTTAATTTAATATATACCTCAGCTAGCTCAATTATATGTTCTAAGCAATCTGTCACTGTGTGACGTCGACTCTGTAGTCTCCTGGTAGAGTTCAAAAAGAAATTAAACCAAAATTTACTTTAGACCTTTGATAAATTAACCCAAATGAAGCACGTTATTTATTAATATTGAACAAATTTAATATAAACAATAAAATTCGTCTGCAACTTCGGTTGCCTTTAAAAATTTACATAAATAGGAATCGTTTAAGTCTTAACGTGGTTTAGTGACGTGACAATAAAAATGTATTACAAAATATGGAGACTCTCTACAAGTACCTAAAAACTAAATAAATATTGCAACTTTATAAAGTGTTTAAATGAACTATAAAGAAAAAGAAAATGAACACTTTATTCCGCTGACTATTCAAATATAATCAAAATTTCAAATGATCCCCAAAATTATTGTCCAACCTCACTTTAAAACAGTTCTGATTTCTTTAAAGGAAACTAACTACTCAAAAATAATCGGTGAAACTGGAATATCAATCCTCTCTTCGGAAGTTAAGGTACGTACTATTCTATTTTTAATTTAATGATCATTAATAATTTCAATTTTTAAGGCCTATCGCAATTATGTTAATTCATGAATTTTAATTTTCTCAATTTAAATGACATTTCTATACTCCAATATAATTTATAAGTGAAATTGTTTCTCTTACTCTCTGGAACAAATTTCTGGATATCTCTGCTGTGGAAACTGTGGAAAAACTAAATTCTAATTAGACGAGTTAAAAAACACTCCCGACCTATTCCACAGTTTCAGGGCTCTCCTTCGTCCAAAAAAACCTCGTCGGCGTCCTCTCCAAAAACCAATTCCCATTATTATCCGTTGCTAACAGCAACCAACGTTCTTTTTTTTTCTGTCTTCTATTTAAATATTTTAAACCATAAAACTGTCCTGTTTGACATATTTGTCAAGCCACATTACTTTCTCATAATCACTTTAATCACATATAATTTGGGAATTTACAAAAAAAAAATGTTTAGATATAAAACTTATTCTATTACAATACTAATTTATTCTTTTCATCTCCACATCATTGTAATTTCTTATTTAACAAAACCCCTATTAATTTAGCTCCCACAGACTGTCAAATAAACTGTCAAGCAGTTTATTTTCTGACGTTTATTAAAATTTCTATGTTTAAATATTTTTTTAAAATTCTTCTTTTTTTGTTCTTTTTAAGGTTTAGACGATTCACCTATACACTAGGCAACTATACTATTCAGAAATTATTAACACTATACCAGGTAAGTCAAAATTAATTTATTTATCAATTTACTAATCTTTTTCTCTCTTTTATTTCAGAGTCGAACCCACATTGTGATGGCTTCATGAAATTCATAAACAACAAACTCATATAAATATCCATTTAAGTTGTATATTTTTTAACATATTGAAATCATTTCAATATATTATATATATATATATATATATATAATATATATATATATATATATATATGTTAGAAAGTGTAGGTGAGATACCACATCCCTGTTTGAGGCCTTAAGTTCAACTATCATCATCGCTATTATAAACAAAATTAACCAAAATCTTTGTTACATTCATATAGACCTATTTCTCTAACTTGTGTAATGTGTAAAGTTCTCGAGAAAATCATATCCAACAGATTAATTTGAGTTTTAGAAAATAATAAATTACTTGCACTGGAAAAAAGTGGATTCCGGAAAAATCGTTCAACACTGGATAAACTGATTTAAACCAATAAAGCATTTAAACATGAAGCAATGGCATGTGGACAAAAATGTATCACAGTATTTTGTGACATAACTAGAGCATATGATACAGTTTGGCGACATGGTATTATTTAAACACTTGTCGATGGGAAATCAAAAGTAATATAGCACAATTCACAAAAAAATCGTATCATATCAAGTTTTTATGTACGAGTTAATTGTACATTATCTAATACAAAAATTAAAAAAAAAAACAAAAAAAAACGAATTCCCTAGGACTCTATTTAAGTGTCTCCCTATTGCAATAAATAATATTATCTCCACTTGTGACTTACCAGTAAACGCTAGACTCTTTGCAGATGACTTAATCATTTTTGTTTAGGGGAAAAATGATAAAACCCTTCAGATCCATTTGCACAAAGTGCTATGGAATCTCGAATTATGGACAAATTCCACAGGTCGTCAATTACCAATCAAACAAAATTAAAGGCTATGTTATTAAAAAAAAAATAATTAAAATATAATTAAAAAGCACATCTAACGAAGCACCCTAGTTTTATTTTGCTTCCTCAGTTATAAAAGGGTACTTCCCAGTATTATCTCCTTTTCACTACATAGTACTCGTACCCGTTATCATCCTTTTGGTTATATATACATATATATATATATATATATATATATATATATATATATATATATATATATATATATGTATATATATATATATGTATATATATAAATATATATATATATGTATATATATAAATATATATATATAAATATATATATATATGTATATATATAAATATATATATATATATATATATATATATATATATGTATATATATAAATATATATATATATATAAATATATATATATATATATATATATATATATATATATATATATATTATATATATATATATATATATATATATGTATATTAATTTATAGTTTAATAATTAATTTTACCTGGTTTATAACTGAAGTCCAATTTTCACAATCACCATCTATTACAATTCCCAAGTGTGACTGAGATATTCTCATTAGTTTTTCAAATTTATTCTCTATATGTTTTATATCTATTACAAAGAACATTAAATAGTGGCTCATCAAACATTTTGATAACTTAATGGATTCTAAAAATAATGATAGTTAAAATATTTTAATTAAAAAATATATTTCTAATTTCACTTTGGCTACCGGCTATAAATTTGAACTTTTTCTGACACTATATTTTGGAGAAATTCACAATATTTAATACTAAAAAGATGTAAACACAAACATTTAGGTATTTGAAAAAAAAATCATGTGTAAAGGCCGTGTCAAAAACTGGTACACATAGTTTGTGACAGTAATAAACACGTAATTATCTTTTTAGAAACTGTGTGTACCATTTTTGGACACAATGTTCATTTTTTTGCTTGACAGTAATCAAACAAGAGGAAGTGTCAGAAAAGCAGTTGGTACACAAGAATTTCTCACAGAATGCTACACAAGATGTTTTAACACGTTTTGTTTTTTTATAGCAAAATTACGTAGTAAAGATTTGAGAGACATTCGTTTTACTTTCCGAGTTTGAATTTGTATCAGCCCAAGTGTCTGACGATGGCTGGGATAGGCCGAAATGATCATAACACTTTAGTGATACCAATTAGAGCACGGGAAGTTTAACGAATTTGTCTCCTAGGCCATATAGTTGGCCATTTGATATATAAAGCGATAGCGGCTTTCGCTAAAAGATTTAATTCTTTACACATTTCGCATAGCATAAAGGATACAGAAAACGATTATTCATATCGTTTCGTTCACGGCCTCCAAAGTAGGTGGCTCCTTTATAAGCTAACTACACGGTAGTAAAGATTTGGGAGACATTCGTTTTACTTTCCGAGTTTGAATTTGTATCAGCCCAAGTGTCTGACGATGGCTGGGATAGGCCGAAATGATAATAACGCTTTAGTGATACCAATTCGAGCACGGGAAGTTTAACGAATTTGTCTCCTAGGCCATATAGTTGGCCATTTGATATATAAAGCGAGAGCGGCTTTCGCTAAAAGATTTAATTCTTTACACATTTCGCATAGCATAAAGGATACAGAAAACGACTATTCATATCGTTTCGTTCACGGCCTCCAAAGTAGGTGGCTCCTTTATAAGCTAACTACACGGTAGTAAAGATTTGGGAGACATTTGTTTTAATTTCCGAGTTTGAATTTGTATCATCCCAAGTGTCTGACGATGGCTGGGATAGGCCGAAATGATCATAACACTCTAGTGATACCAATTCGAGCACGGGAAGTTTAACGAATTTGTCTTCTAGGCCATATAGTTGGCCATTTGATATATAAAGCGATAGCGGCTTTCGCTAAAAGATTTAATTCTTTACACATTTCGCATAGCATAAAGGATACAGAAAACGATTATTCATATCGTTTCGTTCACGGCCTCCAAAGTAGGTGGCTCCTTTATAAGCTAACTACACGGTAGTAAAGATTTGGGAGACATTCGTTTTACTTTCCGAGTTTGAATTTGTATCAGCCCAAGTGTCTGACGATGGCTGGGATAGGCCGAAATGATAATAACGCTTTAGTGATACCAATTCGAGCACGGGAAGTTTAACGAATTTGTCTCCTAGGCCATATAGTTGGCCATTTGATATATAAAGCGAGAGCGGCTTTCGCTAAAAGATTTAATTCTTTACACATTTCGCATAGCATAAAGGATACAGAAAACGACTATTCATATCGTTTCGTTCACGGCCTCCAAAGTAGGTGGCTCCTTTATAAGCTAACTACACGGTAGTAAAGATTTGGGAGACATTTGTTTTAATTTCCGAGTTTGAATTTGTATCATCCCAAGTGTCTGACGATGGCTGGGATAGGCCGAAATGATCATAACACTCTAGTGATACCAATTCGAGCACGGGAAGTTTACCGAATTTGTCTCCTAGGTCATATAGTTGGCCATTTGATATATAAAGCGATAGCGGCTTTCGCTAAAAGATTTAATTCTTTACAAGACTAATAATTATTTGTTTGCCATAATGTATTGTACAGTGGTGGGTCATTCAAACAATAATAATAAAAAAAGTAAATCTTTTTCGACATGTCGTTTTTTTGTGTTTCCTAGAGACAAACAAATTCGTAAATTATGGGTCTCCAAGTGTTTTCAGCGAGACAAATTTAATGTAGAAACTGCGAGAATATGCTCAAAACATTTTACAGAAGCTGATTATTGAAAAAAAAAACTATTAGGATTGCCTGACAAACGGTGGAAGTTAAGAAATGATGCCATACCTTCTCTTCATTTAATAAAATCCCCAAGCGCTGAAACATCGCCTGAGTATAGACGCAAAAGAAGAATGGAGAAAAGAAATGTATTAAAAAACATGTAAGTATTTTGGTTTAGACACACTTTAACAGCCAATGTTTCTATAGATAATAATATATACTAATGTACATTTTAATAGAACTTGAATACTTTACTTTTAATAGGTCTTTAATAGAGGGTAGGAGAGGTCTCGGACGTAAAAAAATGTCATGGCTGCGCAATATTCGACAATGGACAGGAATCCACAGCTATGAAATGCTTCGCAATGCTGCTAAAAACAGAATTATTTAAACCAGAATATTTAACATCTCACCTGACAAGACGATGTACGGTGGACGCCTACGCAGAAATGCACGGCACCTTAAGAAGAAGAAGAAGAAAAAAAGTTACTTTGGATAGTAGTGAACTGGAACATATTTATCGTAGTTATAATGGCGACACATTAAAAATAACAAAAAAATATTTAAAAAAACTTAATATAAGTTGCAAAATATGTAAATCTTAGCGAAGATGTAAAATTACTTATTTTAAGATCTAAAATGTATTATAAAATACGAATTCTAAATAAAAATATTAAAGATAATTATAATATCCGCAAAAGAAAAATCACAAAGATTGTCAAATAAATGTCTAAATGATATATAAAGTCTCAAGTATGATTAGCTTTTCCTTTATGGTCAAATTCTTTACATTTTACCTGCCTTTTATATTTAATTTATATTTTGTAGCAATATTTATTTTGTTTGTAATACACACATATTAATTTTCAAACCACGTTTTCACAGAAAGTAACTAGTTATGACTTCTTAGTGCAAGATATGGCATTGAGGTATCCTTACCGTTAACAGTTTAAGTTTCGATACAGTAATGGAACAACGTTGCCATATCGTTATGCATCGTTAAAATATGATACACACAAGTCCCCTGGCTCTGTCTCGCTATGACGTCATGCGCAAAGTCGATTAAAATTAGAACGGCAAGTTCAACGAGCATATCTTGTTTGTTATAATATCATGATTGTATCTTACCTATTATGTATGACAAGCAAACTTTTATTTATTCGTATTTTGAGTATTAGTAGCCAGTTCATGAAAGTTTTTTACTTAGATGATTCGATATGATGTGGAATTGGATTTTAGATAATGTACATAAATAATAGAGAATAGAGATAATTTAAATAAATTTTAAATAATGGGTCATTTGTTGTCTGCTTGGTTTATAATTTGTAGAAGGCACATATAAGGCAAAAATATAAATTTTGGTGTGCAACAAGTAGAAATTATGTCGTAGAAAAATCATTATGCGAGTCTCGTCAATGTTCTATATTCGATCTGCATGAAATTCAAATTAATCTGATCTAATATGATCTTTTCTCAGACATTAGAGATTACCGCTTACCTTGTTCCACTGGACACGGCTATTTATTATTGGAATCTGTGTATAATATTATCATTGACGTCTCAACAACAATTAAAATTTTTAGGCATATGCAGCAAGCTATTTGCTCGTCTTCTAGTACGCTTTGGATATTTAGACTTGTCACATAACAATAGCTAAAGCAGTTATATTTGAATCGACGCTGCGTATAATTACCCGCTGCGTAAAATTACCCCGTCCACCCATAACTTTCGCTGAATTTCGACACGGTGATAAGTCAAAATAATTTAGCTATCACGAAACCAGCAATTGATATAAATAAAAAAAATATGTACAACCTGTAACAACTACAAAATTATGAGAATTATGTATATAAATATCATAATCTACCTACAATTTGATCGCGTTCGCGTCAATAAATGCCTCGGTGGTTAAATGAACCGGGGTGGTCTTTAAAGGTTAATGTCATATTTATGCATTACGTGATGATGATATGATAATAAAGTCATTTCTACACAGACGTTTTAAAATATATTAGTAAAAGTCACGAAAGGATAGGAACAAAAGCAAATTTTTTTCAAATTAATAACAAATCGTAATTGGTAAAAAAACAGTTCAATCTTTTTAGTAATAATTAAGGTTTTGAGCTTCTCTACTGGTTTGTATTTAATATCTAGATTTCTAGATCAATCTCGCATCTTATAAATATACGGAAAGTATTGAAAATAGTTAGTTATTTATTTAAAATTAACAAAGTAGTTCTAAAATGTTTGTTCAAATGAACACGAAAATCTCAAATACTTTTGGTTTTGATATATTGAGTTATATTGAAATAAAAAAAAAGAGGTTAGTCTTCGTAAATGGGTATATTTATTTAAAAAATCCTTAAAAGGGCTACATCAAAAAACAAACGTTTTCAGACTAAACAGTCCATCATCAGGTTTAAAATTGCCTAAAATAAGTATAAACCATTTAGTTAAAGCAAACGTGGTTTTAAAATTTTGACTAGGGTTAAAAAGCAAAAATGGTTATACTTACTAGGTTAAAATGCCTGAGCCTTAAAAATACTAGGGTAAAAACCCTTTAAATTACATGCAGTTATTAAAGATTGTACATATTGTTGTTATTAAAATGTGATGTTAAATATTAAATTAAATTTGACTTCAGGTAACATGCTTGAAGTGAGTTCCAGTGTCCGGAGAGTAAACCTCTTCAAACGGACTACAGCTGGTAACTGATTGACAAGATACCTATGAACGGTGTCGAAAACAAAATGTCAATGTAACATGAAACTATATTAGTTATACATAGTATTACTGCAGCCAAAAGATTCAAAATTTTTTTTTCAATGATATTAAAATTAAAAATAATAATAGCAATCCAGGTGTTGGGATTTAAAAAACTATTATTTATTAATGTAGGGTATAAAAGA